TGACGCAAGTACTACTGAATGGATTTTAATGAAACTTTACAATAATATAGCTTATACATCAGAATAAGACAAAGGCTATAATTTATATACATATTTTATGTATATCTGTCTTTCTGTCTTAATTATTCTACGCAGATGTAGTCGCGGGCAGCAGCTAGTAGTATAATAAAGGTAAACCGACGTATTTGAATAGTTATTAATACTGTGTTTGTATCAGTTAGGTATTAGTAGTATAAAAGTCGATGATATGATCTGAGATTATTTAAAACTATAACGTTCAATTAACAAAGGCAGACCTATATAAAAACATCATAAGACAACAATCGATTACCTGTATGATTTCATTACAATCGCATATTTTTCTTTCAAATGCTAATAAGCGTCGTTGTGTTTTAAGAAGATACCGTAGACTAAAAATTGTTTAAAAACTAAAATTGGTTCTTAATCACGCAATGTAGATACTTGTATTGTACGCGGTTATTTACCTTGTGAAACCTTTATCATTTTTTAACATAAACTTAATCTTTTAACTTAATCATTTTTTAATAAACTTAATCATTTTTTAACATTAAAAAAAAAATTGGGTATATAAAAACACAACCTTCATCCAATAACGCACCTCACCATCTTTTGCGACAAGCACTGCTTTATCATTTATCTAAATAAGTCGCTAAGGCTGATACCGAAATCCAGCTGTCATGTTAATCATTCTGTTTCAATCATCACCAATTCACGCCAATAAAACAAGACAGAAAATATCAATTATAATTCTATGCACTTACCACGCTCACAAATTAATGACAATTTCCATAATGTACGAATAAGGAGGACTTGGAAATTTTAAATAATCCTAAGTATGTATAGCGACACGGGAATTGCACCTTTTTAAAGTTTTTTTTTTAAATGAAGTACAAAAGTCACAATTCCCGTGTCGCTATAAAGCACTTTGAACGAGAATAGCAACATCAGGAGCAAATTTCCCCAGCGAGTTCTGATTGGCTATAGGAATATAGAATAAGATATAAGAAAACAAACTTGATTTCTTAATGGTCTGTTATCACATTTAAACATGTATCTTGATAAATCCTCTACTGTAAAAATATTATATTCTGAACATAGTGTTTTATAGTGTTTGGGTGTTTATAAACGCCAAATGGGTGTCTTGTCATATTTAAAAGTCAAATTTTCTTTCAATGGACTTGTGATTCGCGGTCATTGGCACTCCCAAAAACTCAAAAGCATCCGTCAAAATATTTAAGCCTGTTGAGGTATTCATAATAATTCATAATAAATTTATCATTTATAATAATAGTTAAGTATTATATAAATATTTTTGGGATAACCTAATTAGTACGTATATTTATGTTTATCTTCCACTTCGCGCCGGTCTTCTGTGAGGTCGTGGTACTTACCCGGACGGAGCTGCCCATTTGTGCAACAACATAGACTGCGTGGCCCTACCACAGTTAAAATTAATTCAATCTAAAACATGAAACATGTAATTTGAATCGGTTCTTAGACTTCTTTGCGTCCGTCGTTATATTTCGTTTAATTGCAGAAGACATATTTTGAATATTGAAAATATGTCTTCTGTAATCTTGCAGCATATACCAAAGGTTATTTTTATTATAATCTTTGCTTCTTTTTTGTCTACTTAACGCTAAGAGGCGAAGTTACCCTAGGTGGTAAACGCACCAGTTAGAGATAAACTGATTTCTTTTTGTCGACATCATATTCGCATGCTTTAAATATTCAGAACTTTCAATTCAACTATTTATCTAGACTTTGTGAAGACGACAAAATAAACTTATGAAATAAGAGTCATTTTGGAGAGAGCACTTTAGGATAAATTATAACAATATTAGTTATTTACGTGTACATAATTTAGTTAATTATTTTTTTTATTACATGGCTTTAATTTTCTTCCCCTCATTGTTTTGCATAATTAACCAGTTTCATTTCGATACATTATAATATTAGTTATGTTCTCTGTCTGGCTGTTGGAATTTCTGGTTAATTTTTGGCATCAAAATATTAATAATTCACGGCATCGCTTTGCCAAAACCGAAGAATTTGTCCAATTCCGCAAGAAATTAGGTTTTTAATATCCCGTTTTGTACCCATTAATGTCACAATGTAAATTAAAAAGGGTAAATAATATGTACACTATTTGTTTATACTGCAGTTTTGTTCTACTCAAAATACGTTAAGTAAAATAATATTAAGAAATTACTTAGCAGATTAATTTATTAAGTAAATAAGGTTAAGTAAAATATAACCTAATTTATAACGTAATTAAACTGCCTCATAAGTGTATTTGTGAGGAGGGGTGATTCAAAAGTAATGATAATAAATACAGGGAGAATTTACAATAATTGCCCAAATTTACACAGAAAGTTCAGACTCGGTAGTATAATCGTTTATTGAATTAAAAATAAGCTTTTTGTTTCAAAAAAAAAATTGCCATACTATTCCCTAAAAAACAGAACATGTTGACAATGCGGTAGTCATTCATAAATACCTAAATACTGTGCACGCACACAAACAAAACGAAGCGCTCGCGACGATAAATCGCAGACGACCCTTTCTCTCTTCCCGCGTCCGTCTCACTCGCGCCGGCACGACTGCATAGCCAGGGTAAGATTTAGTTCTATAGTTATAGTATTTGTACTATAATTATATGCTTCGTGCTATGTACTATCCATATCTAAGGATAGTCCGAAAACGTACTGTAATTTCATTACTTTACCTATATGACCAATATTTTTATGATACTGCCGTTCCATTCTTATTTAAAATTCAAATGATAACAGTTTTCTACGATTTTTTGAGTAAAATAATTTATTTTTTGTGCATAAACTATGAAAATAATAGTGTAATATAATTTTTTGTCAAATACTATCTTTTTAAATTTTTTGTACTATCTTCTTTACCGCACCTAAATCTGCATTTATCGGCATTTATTTCATTGTAAGGAAACGATTATTTATTTTTTTATTAATTATTCCTTTCCAACGTATTATTGAAAAAAAACCTCGAGAATAAAGTTATGAATATAGAGAAAAGTTATTTTATACCTATATTTATCATTTTTAGGGTCTCCTCAACAAATGTACAACGACAAAAAGCGAGGTCGTTTTCTTATCACGGATAAAACTTTTAACAAGGATAAAATATATGAAAGGAAACGTGATGGACAGTAAAAGTATTTTGTTTTTGACAAAATATTTTTAAACTTTCTCATGAGATCATACAAAAATTAACTCTACGATAGATAAAAAGTAATATGCTTTTACAGATCTCGTTGCGTAAAGACAGTTTGGGAATACGTAAATGACATATTTATTGACAATATTTTCATCGTTAAACACTCTATCTAAACCATTAATGTATAAAAAATAAAGAGTTGTTTTCCTTTTTTTTGTCGCACAAAAGTGAAATCCAATAATGTCTTCTTTGCATCTGACATTCCATTTTAACCTTCTTTAGATCCTGTCACTTTTATGTTACGAGATAAAGTATGACAATTTATTGAAACGCAATTGTTAAATATGAATGTGAATAAAAAAGGGCTGCGAAAAATAAAATCTGTGAAATCACACTCCGTCAAAATAAAACACTTTCATATTGTGATAGATTTGTCAACGGCACCATTATTTGCCGTTATTTGATTAAAAAAACTCAAATGAATTTCGAACTATACCGCGACATTCATGCCACCCTAACTGTGAAGGACATTTAGGTCTCGACTTACCCGGGGCCTGCGTATCTTGCCTGTTTATTCAATAAACAAGAAAAACGCCTAGTTTTAATATTAATTTTGACTCACGAAGCTTAAAACTTGAGTTTGTTATATTTAGATTTTAAAGATATTCTTATTCATAATAAAACCCTTATCGAAGGTAAAAACCTATGTTAGTTAAAACGTCTTTTAAGCGTATCAAACGTTCGATATAAATCTTTATTCATAATCGTTTGATAAACCTCCGACAACTAAAATGTTTTTATTGAACATAATGTTGCAATTTCGTAAAAAAATGGTGTAAATTGAATGATAGAAGAATGGTTTCATGAGTTTTTATCTATGGTTCGCTACAAATTAAAAAATAATTGCATCATGACATGTCAAACGTATTTATCGAGATTCCTGTCAACTTTCCTGTTTTTATTTATTAGTAGTCTTTGGCCTTAACAAAATAAATAGATTATTGTTATTTTAAAATGAACATGAATGCAAAAAAAACAGAGTAGTGAAAATTGGCTAGAGGAAGATAAAGTTTGTGTTACAATTTTGTTATATTTGCAAGTCTAGAACTTCGCACTGTAATTTTTATGCATGCATTACCTACTAAAATTTATTGTGTTTGCTTTCGAAAAATATCTTGAAAGATTGATTTGGTGAAGGAGCGGGTTCGTGTTATCTAAAATCAACGAAAAAAACAACGACACGATCTCCAATGCAACGACGGGGCGGCGAGGAATGATTTAAAAGAAGTCATTACCAATGTCAGTAATCAGCTGACAAAAATCGATATTGTTTTTCAATATACATTTATCGAAAGTCTATAGTAGGGTCTTAGCCTGTTTATATCAAAGACACTATCGGAGAGTTAATGAACGTTTTAGCGTTATAGAACGATTATGAATAAGACTTTTTGACAATCTGTTTTTAGCGAGCTCTTAAACATCCGATAACTTATTATGAATAAGACCATTAATCTATATGCTGATGATAAATAATCTGCAAGATATAAATTACATTACATCTTGCAGATTATTTATTATTGCATCCCATAAAGTGATAGCTTTCTGTCCATTTTTGTAAAACTAAATATTTTTTAAGTTGTTGGAAGATGTGGTTAAGTTTTAAATAAAACATTTTTATGAAAGATACACTTTAATTACATTTTAATAAGTAATAGAAAATATTCTATATAGACATTTTACATATTTAGCTGATATAAACACATTATGAATTAAAATCATGCGGCTATGCTTTAATCTGAAAAGAAAGGAAAAACCATTTATTTATTTATTTGCATAAAATTGATGATTAATTATAAATAAAAGGAAAGGAAATATATAAGAATGTCTGAACGACACATGACCTAAGGTCTATTACCAAGTTAATATAATTAGTCTGATTGACGGAGGCAGGATAATTGAATGGAGAGTGAATTATATAAATTTAATAAATCGATCAGCAGAGAGATGGAGGATGGCAATGATGTTTAACAATATAGATGACGCATGTCCATACTGCGCGGCAATTTAAAATATTTCCGCCTTACATTAATGACATATATGAGTGTGACCAAGGGCGGATCCAGCTTTGGTGCCAGGGAGGGGGGGGTGTGGGGGTCACATTGTCGTGGTCAAGTGATAAGAAGTTATAATTTATTTTATAATCACAGAGAGAAGTAAAAAGTAGGTACTTATTTTTAACCGACTTCAAAAAGAAGGAGGAGACAATTCGGATGTTTATATTTTTTTTTATGTGGGTATGTTCGGGCATACCTTCGTCATATATAGACGGATTTGCAAAATTCTGTTCTGCTCATACATAGCGTTGATTTTTATTATCATATATTATACAGGTTGGCTTTTATAAAGGTGCCCAAATTCACACCGGAGGTTCATGCTCGGTAATATAATCGTTTATAGAAATAAATTTTTCGCGCATTCTATTTCCTAAAAACAACAACAAACTTCTTGACAATCGGTAGTCATTCATAAATGCTACTTTTGAAACGAAATTGTGTGCGTGTTAGTTATGAATGATCGCGCGTAAAATAAATGAGTTGTCCATAAATCACGCACTTTCTGAGATAAGTTCAAATGAATGTAATTAATTAATTATGAGTGATTTTAAATATTTATATGGATACACTTAGGAAAGCCACCCTGTATAGTATTTTTGTAAGTAGCTATTGGTAGGTTTACTTATTTTTGGAATTTCTTTTATTCATTTCGTTAACAGATTTTATATAGTCATGTTGGTTATAATATTCTTTATTCCTCTACTCCGCACGCTGGCTCTACTTCAATGACAAGTAGCCTGAGACGAGACTAAAGGGACACGGGTTGATAATAATATATAATCAACCCAAATGAAAACTCCTAAAATAGCCGTACACAAAATAAAATTACATCGTCCACATTAAAAATGTTCATAAATAACAAAAAAATATTTATTGTCATTCATTTATTCATTCATAATATTCAGCGCTTCTTATCCATCTAATCAAAGACAGAATCCACATTCATAACAAACGGAAAGAACAATCTTTATTTCCCAAAGATGGTCTCGCATACTCACGTCCACCAAATCACCACATCTCACCACCCATCAAAAACGGTCCACCCAGTAAGACGAATCAAACTCTGTTAAACGCAGTTATGTTATTTAATTACTGAGTTCCTATGGCCACATGCCAGCTCTGTCATCAGACCCTGGTTACCATCTAGCACCAAAGAACTCGTCATGACGAATCTAACGAGCCGAGACGCAATAGGGTTGCGTCGTTTCTTTACTGAATTCATATGACTATCTTCCAGCTCCATCATCAGATCAGACCCTGGTAACCATCTAAAAATTAAGTACTCGCCAAGACGAATCAAACGAATCGAATCTCGTTGGGGTTGAGTCGTTTCATTCCAGAGTAGTCATAGGAACGTCACAGAATAGCCTCATAGATCGGCGTAAAGTACTTCTGCGATTTGTCTGGTGAGTACCTCACTCAAGAGATGCATTTTGCTCCGGCTCTGGCTACCTAGCCGGAGCCCACTTTATTATAAGGAGAAAACGCATCTGCAACCCTATGCATATGTCCATGGACAGGTGAAGATGGAGCTCCATCATCAGATCGTGGTTACCAATGAAAGACAAACTACTCATTAATACGATTCAAATGAACCCAAACGCGATGAGGCTCTGTCGTTTCATTTCGAAGTTCCTTTGGCCTTCTTCCAGCTCCAATGTTCATAAAATTAAAACTACTTGGCAAAAATATGTTAAATTTTTATCGGACCAAATGGCAACTATTCTGCATCAAACTAAAGAAGAATCACGGAAATCGGATCAAATCTCAACGTAATCGGTGTACATACATCGAAAAAAATATACCAATCGAATTGAGAAAATCCTCATTTTGAAGTCGGTTAAAAATATTATATTATTTTAATTAAATATTGAAGGGACTTACATAAAATCTATAATTATGTTATAAAATTTTAATTAGTGGTCTACCTAGGTCCTGGACCCAGCCCAGGTTGGGGTCATGACCCTCATGACCCTCCCCCACCCCCCCCCCTGGATCCGCCCTTGAGATGACAGATGATATAAAACGTATGATATGGAAAAAGATAGCAGTCTACAGAATTGTAATGTGTTTTAAATATCCACGGGCGGCAGTTATCACTTAACATTAGGTAAACCGCTAGCTCGCTTATGTAAAAAATCTATAAAAACGGCAAAAAAATTATTTCTTTTGTATGGGAGACCCACTTAAATATCTTTTATTTTGTATAGCGACAACAGAAATACATCATCTGTAAAAATTTTAACTGTACAACTATCACGATTCATGTTGTCTCACCTGTAGGCTGTCGCTTGTATTTTCAAATACAAAACGAGAGCTTTAAAACCCTTTGTGTTTGTAGTCTCACCTGTAGGCTGTCGCTTGTATTCAAATACATTAATTAGTCTGCTTTCCTTTCCATTGCATCTTCTTGTGCGTAATGTTTAACACGAAACGTTTTTTACTTAGATTTTAAAAAAACAATAATTACGGTAACAATATTCAAAAAACATATCATAGTATTGATAAAACTTGGTTGCTTTCCTTCAGCTTTTAACAACCATAAAATAAAATGTCTACTGTCTAAATGTCGATTCTCATACAATTCACAGAATCAGTGTAAATACATCAAGAAGAAATCCCGATTGATGATGCTGTATTTTCAATTAAATAAACATAATACAAACGCTTTGAGATAACTGCGTAGCGATAGTTGTTTATTTATGGAAAAATACTGCATGAGTAATGAAAAGTATTGCAAAAATAGGTATGAGTAAAGTACTATGTAATGACCAATAACAAGGTTCATATTGCATCGTTGAAACATACAAATGAGCCATTGAAATCATCAGATAGAATTCAATGATTCTTTAGATTAATAAACGAATAACACTTCAAAAAGGAAATTGTTGTCGATATCAGAAAAATATACAATCACAGTTTTATCACTAATACAAGGCTACAACATTGCATGGCTACAATGCATGGCTACAGCATTATAGTTCTGCGGACTATAATTAGGTTTAAATGTTTTTTTTTCGTTGAGTTAAAAATCTGAACATTTCTTGATTTGGTTTTGTTTATTACTAAAATTATTTCCAGTGACAATTTAAATAGATGACATGGTACAACGGAGAATGTAAAATAACTTATATTCGTTTTCTCCAGTGACCGTTGACAAACGAAAAATTATAAATTTAACGCAATTTAATCGGTCGGTCGGGCTAACTTAATTTATGTATTCAACTTACTTGGTTTTGCCATACCGCGCATCTGTCTCGTTTCCTCTTGTGTGTAATCTGCGAATTTGTTTATCCCGTACGTAGCGGAGCTTTGTTTCGCGTTTAGCTCATTGATTCGGTGTAAGGATTTGATAAACGCCTGATAATGCACTTCCCTATCAGCCTCATCCTTGTATTGTTTGTCGTAGTCCTTGACAAATTTTTCGAACAACGCCGCGGCGTCATTCACATCGTAAAACGTTTTATTTCCCTCCGCCGCAGTCGCCATTGCACTCTCAGTGAGCGACAGAGACCTACTGTAGTGCTGGTGTGAGACGGAAGCAGACTGCAGAGGGGGAGCTGGGGGAGGGCGGTATTTACGTTCGTTTTGTTACGTGTAATACGGTGACTCATTAATGTCATTTAGTCTTAGGTCGCTTTGTTTTGCATAAAGAAAACTCAGTCTACTTACTTGGTTATACTATTTATTCTCAAAAGATAAATTTAATATTGTAAGTATGGATATTGTCCTTTTGTTAAGACTAAACTGACCACTTTTTTTCTAACTCAAAACGAATGTCGCGATTTACAATGAAAATAAACATAACTTTTGAATTTTCTTTATTCCGAAAAGATTAAAAATTAATTGATACAAAGAAAAAAATTATTACTTCACTATTTTTATTAAAACAACATTGGTATGTTTTTAAATATTTCTCAGAGGAACTTTGTTTTAATAAATAAAGTGACGATTTTAAAGAAGAATAAAATTTGGTACGTTTCTTTTAAGTGGTTGGTATGTTACTTTTGTTATCAGCATTGCCTTCAGAACTGGAGCTGTTCAATATCACCAGCACCACTATGGGAAACACTAAACCGTGCGACACTTTTCGTATCTGACATCCGAAGGAGTGTTAATTTGCTTAATAAATGGGTATTTTGTTTGTAGTTTGGCGTTAAATGCACACTTCGGCATAGCTATAGGAAAAATGTCAAAACAACAAAACTTCAAATTATCTACAAAACTATTTAACAAACGTTACATAAAACTATAAAGAAGTCAGAATACATGCGCGGGGCTAGCCATTGATGAACAAATTGAAAGAAAAACATGCGGGGACTAACCGGGAATAACCGATCGCGGTTCCGCGCTGCTCATGATCATGTCTGAAGAGCGTGGTTTTAAAATTTTGCGCGATTTCGGAAAAAAGGACAATCTTGCATCCCGAAGATTTGTTCAGGGACAAAGGGACAGCTGTCCGATAAAAGGGATAGTCCCGTTCAAAACGGGACGTAATAGGGTCAGTTTAGGTAAGACTACTCTTGAGATCAATTTACTGTTATGTATAGAAGTACCTATTTCAATTATGAAGATAGATAGATCTAAGTCAATTATTAAGAAGGTGCTCACAAGTTGTTATTTTAATTATAAACGATTTACGAAACCACCTCATTACATCGATATTCAAAGAGGTACTTCATGCTGGACCCTGGAAACAATATCTGGTGGTTGTTACAAGACACATCTTTTCTTTGTAATTTAATACAACTTTTGATGTAAGCATAATCTGGCATACTTAAATTATGCTGTTATTAAAATAATTTTTCTTGTATATCTTAAGTTCACAATATTAAAAAACACACCCTTGTTTATTGATATAGCCAAGTAAAAAATGGGTCAAGTGCGAGTAGGACTCGCGCATGAAGGGTTCCGTGCCATTATCTATAAAACCATATCTTCTGTATGGAAGCCACCTAAATATTTTTTTTATTCTGTTTGTTTTGCAACAGAAATACATTATCTGTAAAAATTTCAACAGCCTGCTGACAGACGGACCCTTTAGTTACGCAACCCTAAAAATTATTCGTCAGATCTTTATTTTTACATACATATCTAATGTAGAAAGAGCTTGTTTTCTGACAATGGTATTTGACAACTTATTTTCGAATACTGAAAAGAATCTTTAAAAAACGATGCATAACACGAAAATCGATTGTGTTGTGTTGTGAAATCGACAACCTTAGTTTAGAAATAATAGTGGTGCTGTATTATTTTTAGAGTACACAGGAAACAATAAAATATTCATAATTTAAGAATAATATTTTTCTTTGAAGTTATTTTTCAATCAAATAATAGTAGTAATTGAATTTTAAGCATAATTGAAAAATGTAAATTTTAATTAAACCGCTTGGATCGTTGCGATCTTCTAAAGTTAGAAGTATGACGCAGGCATTAAAACTTTAATCCTTGGCAAGAGGAATGAAGTCTGATGCTTCAACCACGTCCTCATTACATTATATAAACTAGAAAACTTTCAGATTTCTAAAAGTAAATTTTAAAATTTACACAAATGGCGGAAAACATGAGACGACCAGGATGACGGGTCAAAACACTTTGGCTTTGATTATGTACCTGTGAGAAATACATAATCAAAGACATTTGGAAAGGCCGCCGTACAAGCGAACATTAATGAATGCGAATTCTTAAGTCAAAAAAATTACAACAACACTACTTGAATTCTATATGATTTTATAACACCTATGCAAGGTATGCTCAAAAATGAAGAATTAAACGAAAGAATTTGCTATGATTTTTAAAGTTTTTTAAAGTGCAAATCTCTGCAGTTAAGATTCTTTTCTACAAATTGCTATGATACTTATCGAAGGAGCAAAAGACGGCTAACGGTTATTCTTTAAGCACTGGTATGTTTTATGTGAAAAGATGCAAACGAGCTGGTGGTTTACCTGATGTTAAGTAATAATTGTCACCCATTGACATTTGTCACGCCCAAAAAATTTTTTGCAATGCAGCCTCTTGACCAAAACGGATTTTTTAGATACTTTATAAATATCCATCCATGAAATTATGACTGGATAGTACTGTACTATATGCCTTTTTCCCTATAACTGAAATCAATAAATCTTAAAGAAAATCTTTTATTCAGATAGATATTGAAATTGTAAAATAGGGCGGTGTATCGGTTTCGATCCCTATTGTAGTAGACTTCTTACTAAACTATCTGCTATCTTGTAAAGTTCAATGCAATATTCGGACAAAATTAAATGTGTTAGAGTTAACAGTTAATCTCATAATATTGCCCAGGACTAAATGAAAATGATTGTTCGACTCTTTGAATTGATCATTCTGATAATTAACAATATCATTCCAATCAATTCAGAGAGTTTAACAACCCTTTTGGTAACTCAAATAACGTTTAAAAATCCATTTGACAGCTGATTAGTTGACTTCTACGATGATCAGTGTTTCAGAGACCGGACGTAAGAGTCGTAGTATACTTCCGTTATTACCGACATTAGCGTTTTTTGTCGTAGACTACGATTGTTGTCAACGTTTTCAAAGATTACGTTGATGTCAACAATGAAGTTTTAATAAAGATGACGCATGTCCATATAGCGCAGCGTTTAAAAATCATTCCGCTTTACATTAAGTGACACATATAAATGAATGTGACAAATCATATAGAACGTTTGATACACATAATACAATAAGATACATAAACGTAGTGATTACATTCTCTTTGATATGATACGGAAAGACATAGCAGTCTATAGAGTTCCACCAAATAGCGTAATTTGGGTGCTTTAGTTTTGGTGCCCTGGTGTCATATCTACCTCCCATTTGTATATAATATCATTGAATGTCAATATGAGAAGCGATATTTCAGAGTTGAAAATGGCGAAAAATCGCGACAATAAATGAACACACATATAGAGGATAACTTTTTAAAATTGTATTAAACATTTATATTCTTTAAACATCAATATTTACAGAGTTATTAAATTTTCAAAAGAAATAATTTTAGAACACCCTTACGTATAAAACTATAACGTAAAGTTCATTTGTAAAGGTCACAAAGCATATGAATGGGTTGAATGAATTTAAAAGAGACAAAACATACTGTTAGAAGGAGAGGCTTGTAATGCAACGCTGTGGTAACGGATGAAAAAGTCTCTGAATGTATGAATCAGTCAGTTAAAGTTGTATAGGATGTTACAAATTTTGTTTCTTTTTTACTTAATTAGTTTGAAAAATATTTTTTTAATTATGGTTTTTTTTTTAAGTTAATATTTTTTTATGATTATTGGCAAGTAGCGTTACACGTGTATTGATTTATTGTCGCGATGGTGACGACACGCTGTATACGAGTATTTCATTTACGTTCGTGTTTTGATGTAAAATTCATAAATATGTATTCTATAATACATATATAAAGACATTATGATGAATCTTATAATTTTATAAGGAAAATTAGAGGTCCTTATTAATGTAATCGAGTTTCTAAATGATGCTCTTCAAAGCCTGGTAGAATATTAGCAAGCAATTATTTTATAAAAGAAAATCACTTTTATTAAGTAGGTATTGGGTTTTATGAAAAGTCATTTCGTTTTTTGTTTGTCTAAATGTAAGACGATTTTTTAAATTAATAAACATTTTATTAAATTATATATTTTCAATCATTTTGAGCAGGAGATTGATTCTACCCTCACGAAACTTCTGTGGCAAAAAACTATTCCAAGCTATATTTGACATGCTGATTTGAAGTAAAGGTCATCCTTCCTAAAAAAATTGCTGAGACTGAAACAAATAATCTCCTCCGGACTGGAGGTGCCAAATCTGGAGATTATAGTGGGTGTGGTAGAACGTCCCATTCAAGCTGGGGCGTTTGAAGAGTTACGAAACACAAAACATCAGGTGACCGGCAACTTGCTTGCCACCTCCTCACAAAAAAGGTGATTACCGATATCGAAATCCCACACATTTTACTTTTACGAAATTCTGCAAATCATTTAATTCTTTATTTCCTAGAACATACAAGAATATTTTCATTTACGTACATAATAATAAAAATCATGATAACGTCATTTCCCTCATTTCGATGGAGAGCACCATCTTGAATTATTAGATTATGTCAAACTCAGTGACACGTGTTACGATGAAACGCAGATGTGATGCTTATGCGAACAGTAGACATAACAAAATTAATAATGTTATTTTTTTGTTTAAGCCCGTGCCATTTACATAGAATGTAGAAAAAAATACGGTTATTTTGTGTGCCATGTTTGTACAAGTGAAACGGATGACGAACAATACGGAAAATGTGTTACAACGTTCAGCGGTGTGGAACTACGAATTTTATTAACCATTATTGCTGTTAATGTTGCATCCTTATAATAGTACAATAAAGGATAAATTGAAAAAAATACTAGAATTTGTAATTAAAAGGGAGATGAAACATCGTGAATCAACAGTACATTTTTTTTGCCGCT